ATGAGAGAACACAGAAACAACTATACAACAAAGCCTTCAATGCATTGGAAATAACTGAGAAAGAGTTAAGACACAAAGAACATAGCAACAAATCTTCTTAACTCTCTCTCTGCATGGCAACTGGACTCTAAACATGTTGTACTGTACAGTTCAAACACTGTTTCAAAGCAGGAAAGGCCAGTGATGTAACCTATGTAAGCAGGATTAGTGAATGCTAGACACAGCATACTGGCACACTGACTGCACCGCAAAACACCACAACTAGGACATCAGGAGCACAGATGCAGACGTGAGAGACAAAGAAGAATAGAAAGAGCCTAAAAAGAGTTTGTACATGCAATCACTGTCTGTCTCAAACAAAAGAGGCACAGTATCAAGCCCATCAGCACAAAAGCAACAGAAAAAAATCAAAGGATTGAAAGTGGAACAGGTGAAAGACAGAGGTAAAGTCTACAGCGGTGTAAATGTAGAAAGAGAGATGTAAATGTAAATATAGTATTAAAGTGTCTTTCCTTCCTGTTCTTCATCTTATTCTCCTGTGAACTCGTATGGCATGAATTTGGAAAGCATGTTTCGCTTTGTACGCCTCTTTACGGTGCATACAGTTTAACAAAGGCAGCGGGAAACGTGATGATTTAAGTGCAGGTCTCTAATGTCTAATAATATCCCCAGGTTCCTGCTATTTTTACTCTTTCTTTTTTTACTGGCCACTGAAATGTAGTTTGAAAGAGTAGCCAACGCATGGGCGTACACAGCACCACAATATTGTGCGCTAATGAGTCAGAAGCACAGACTGTATCAAGTAAGGCCAAATATAAAAAAGACATATGCAAATGATATGGCAAACTAAAAACTGAAGAAAGTGAGTCTGAGGTAAGATAAACTAGGAATAAAGGTTTTAATTGGCAGGTGCTATTTTGCCTCACAGCTACCTGAAGTATGTTTGACAAATGTACTGGTGACAATCAAGTCTTAACTGAGTAGCAGTAACCCTTCCCCATCTGTTTTTGGGACTAAAAGAGCTCACTAAGAGTAATTGACAGCCGCTTTGACATCTGAGATAATGGGAAAAGCAAAGTAATGAAAGTCTCAGTGGATATCAGTCAAAATAAGCTCAAAACTCATCAGTAAAACATGTCACACACTTGATGAGATTCAAACTGTGAGGTAATTTAATGCTTCATTCCTTCAGCCCTCCTCCACTGGCAGCACCCACATACGCAGACAAGACTCCAGACAACGCTTACACTCTCTCTCTCTCACACACCACACACACGCACAAAATGCATTTTCTTTTATCACTTTCAGACTGCTTCTATGCTCACACATACATAGAAATACTTGCACACACAGCTTACAGTACTTGTCGTCAGACACAACATACTCAAAGTCTCAGTTCTAGGCTGCCACCAATCGATAATCCCATTATAGCTGAAAAGGCTCTTTTATTTGTTCTGATTGAGTTTGTGGTGAGGAGGAGGCATGGTTCATAATTAAAGCAGGATTTTCCGATTGATGGTTAATGGGGTGGATCGAAATGTAAGCAGACACTTGGGCTATGCCACATATAGGAAACATTATGATAAAGTGTTCTTTCCGAAAACGCCTCTCTTCTCTCTCTCTCTCTCCTCTCTCTCTTCTCTCTCTCTCTCTCTCTCTCTCTCTCTCTCTCTCTCTCTCTCTCTCTCTCTCTCTCTCTCTACACCCCTCGTGCAGCCCATCCCGCCTCTCTTTAACTTTGAAGTGTAGTGATGATGTGTGGGCATGTGATTTCAAGGCCAATTTAGATACAAATTAGCTGGAGCAGTAGTCACAACCTAAACTGAAATGTCCCACACCGTATATAGACTGTAGAAGCCATGACAAAGACACACAAGCATGTAGACGCAAAACCTCCAGGATGTCCATACATTAAACATAAAACACTAGGGCTATGAACTTTTATATGTTAACCCTTGTGATTAAATCAGAAAGCTTAATATAAAACAATGAAAAAATGCAAATTGATGACATTCGCAAGACCTAAACTTCCCTAGCGTAATTCCAGCACGGATGTTTTCCATGAATTGCATGGTAGTGAAAATGCAAAGAAGGTGCAAAAGCGGGCACAAGCTACACTGACTGGAGACCACAGGACCTCAGTTAGCAGGGATCAATAGCACACCTACTCGATGACTTATGATAGCTGCACTCGCTTCAGGTGTAGTGAAAATGGAGGAACAGCATTTTACCGAAACATGCATCAATTTCTTAACGTTGCTGAGATTGTAAGTGATTCACAGCACTCATAGCCTCTGATGCATTCTCATATCGTCGGAATGGTTTAAACCTGGAATGCAGCTTTACTGGTTGACTGAATGGTAAGCCGTGGTTGTACTGGACAGCTTGTACGTACAGTGTGAGGACTGTGTGCTACACTGCGTCCCAGGGCAACCGCTCCCTCAGGCTGTTTCTGTAACAGTCTGGGCTTCATTAGGATTCACACCGCTGGCAATACTGTATAACTAACATGTGCACTGCTGGTTTCAGGGTCTTGCGTGGCACCACGGGTTCAGCGATACAGAACATTAAACATGGATGCGCCATGTAGAATGCCACAGTATGTTATGTGTCAAAATGTAGATAAGCTTCACACACTGCAGATAAGATTGAACTATTTTGAAAATGTTTGTACCCACCTTCGAAAAGCAGGTACATATTTAATAATAAAAACCTATGGTGCAGAAACCATATTACACATGCTAATGAAAGGCAGCAGCATCAGCAGCAGCAGCTCATCCAACCGGACTGGAAGGATTTATATGCAATTGAAATGTTAACAATGTTGTAAATGGCTCTGAGATCTTACAGGGACAGCCCTAATGTCTTCCTCAATCTCATCAAGTAAGTCAATAATTGCGTACCTTAATAGCCTACAATGGTTAATAGTTTCTCTGTTGGTTAACTGAAACGATGTTAATGTATAAATATGCTCTCCTTGGCATGCCTGGAATGATATCAGTGCCCTTGGCCCACTGTAATTATCACTGTATTATTAGTGTTACACTACATGCATCATGTCTCTTTAACAGCCCCTGTATCAACTACAAGGCCAGCGTTCCTTGGAGATTTCATTGATAATCAAGCTTTGATTTTTATGAATAAGGCTCACACTTTAAGTTGGGTTGTTAGCATTTTAAAGAGGTCGATTTGACTTTGAAATGCTAATTAATTATTTCATTACATTTACAGGAGAGGATGTACTCTGTCGCTTTCATGGTGTCATAGATGTCAATCAGAGGCTGTTTTATGTTTTGCTCTACTGTTCACAAAGCATCAAAACGTTTTAGGTTGTCAAAAGGTCCTGTAAGAGGCCCCTATAGAGGTCATTCTGCTGATTTAAAGTGACTTACTAAATGACAGTGCCATCTTTTAGGAGGTTTTTTAGATATAACATTCGAAAAAAAATAGAAATATATAGGGGATGTGTTCAGGCGATTATATCACTGTTGGATGTAACTGTGTGATGAACCATGCACATTCTCACAGGGTTACTTAGCAGGTCACAGCTGATCATATAGATAACAGTCACGTGGCATCACACATGAGCTATCACATTTGATCAGAAGCTAACACCCAATTTCTTAATCTACTGTATGTGTACACAGGGAAATATTAGCCCTTCAAATTGAAATGCTTATTTTATTTATGTCTTATTTGATGTGACCCCATGCTATCTTTTTTCAAACAGACAATCAACTTTAAATGGCTGCTTCCATGATTGTATGTGAAGAAAATGTATACATCTGATTAGCAAATTAGAATATTCATGCATCACATTTAAGAAAAAAAAAAACTACCTGTCTTCATGTCCTACATAAAATGCTATATGCACAACCCTAAAATACTGCATAAAATGTAAAACCTTTGTCCTTATTACATTTGAAATGTAGCTAAATATCTATCCGCCTATCTATCCATCTATTACATTGCATTTAGCTGACGCTTTTATCCAAAGCGACTTACAATAAGTACATTCGACCAGGAAGACACAACCTTGAAGAAAACAGAATCATATAAGTACATCAGGTTTCATAGAGCTAAACATTTCAAGTGCTACTCAACTGGCTATAGATAAGCCAGTCCTTTATTATTATATAAGTGCTCGGTTAGCAGTTCTTTGTTAGTAATTCTATCGCTCGAAGTGGAGTCGAAGAGATGAGTTTTCAGTCTGCACCGGAAGGTGTGTAAGCTTTCTGCTGTCCTGATGTCAATGGGGAGCTCATTCCACCATTTTGGAGCCATCTATAAATGTCATATTAGAAAAATGCCAAATGAATGTACTGCACAGACATAATGAATATGTTCCTGATAGTATATAACAATAATGACTAATGAGCACCACACAATGAACATAAAGGTGGCGGCTGAGTTTGCTCGGCATTGCATTTGTCTTTGAAGAGCAAGATTGCCCCTCAGAGCTAGCACAGAAGGCGGGAGGAGAACGGAGACGAAATAATTACAACAATTACTCCTTTTACTTTATCTCTGCCTGACACACGGCACACACACACATGCACACACAGAGAAATTATAATAGCAGTGGTAAGTGAAGTACTGTCAGCGCTAATGACAATGTTGCCAGTAAAATAAGTGCAGTAAAGGCAGGGGAGATGGCATAATATATATAGCTTCAAACACTTAAATATAATGTACCTGAGTATATGACACACATGCAAGTAAAGGCAAGAAGATGATGCCAAACTGAGTTTTTGTGTCGTTGCATAAACATAAGATTACATTAAATGTGCTTTGTGTGTGTGACATTGCAGAAATAAGGTCAGACATGCTGAGTGTGTTCATGGAAAAACACTCACACACGCAGGTGGTGAATGATTCGTAGAAATCAAATTAAAAAGATTTAAAAGCTATCAGCCATACAAATGGGTCCACTTCATAAATAAGGACCCTGTTGATACACAATAGGAAATAAATGACTTTTATCAAAGAGAATATCCAACCTGTTTCCACTCTTTGTTGACTCCTCTCACTTTTCAGCGGCCTTCATCGTGACACAAAGATCTGCTCGTCCGGGCATGTGTCCTTCATGAACGGTTTCTCGGGGTTGGGGGGGGGGGGGTTGGCAGGTGGTTCGAGGTTGTACAGCAAAATGAGTTGGTACTTTTGCTCTGCTTGTGGTAAAGGTCCTCTGCGCTTCTGCCAGGATTACAGGAAAGGAAACTGGGCTGAAATTAAGAAATATACAAAAAAAAGACGGGATTAAGTGAAAAGAACTCACTCTTAACTTTAACGTCACTGGGCAATTGGCAAAAAAAAAAGTCTA